ATTAGTGAAAATAATTATCCTATAATATAAATAATTATAAATTAAGATTAAGATAACTAATTAGTAATTAAAATTAAAAAAATAAATTAAAAATTTTAAAATGAGATTAAAGTGTATAATCATTTTCCAAAAAAGAAAAATGACATGGTATGTGGGACTGACAGAAACGGCAACGTGAACATAGTATGTGGGACGGAGGGAGTAATTTTTTTATATTTTTTTTATAAATTGTACTATTATATATGTTTTGCAAACTATTAGTATTATATATTGTACTTTATAGGAAAAATTAAAAATTATTATTTTTGCATTGAAAAAACATAATTTTTAATTTTTTTTTATATATAATGTAAATAATTGTATATATTGTTTTTTGTTCTAATACTAAGTTTACAAATAAATAAATAAACTAATAAAATTATTATGTAGCTTTTTAAACAGGCCTGTAGGCTAGGACAGACTTTTAAAAAGGTCAGGCTTAACTTAGACTATATATTTCTATAACAGACCAAGCCTATTTAGTCAAAGCCTGGTCTATTTCCACTGGCTTCCTCAGGTTTGTCTAAAATGTTTTGGGGATAGGCTTTTATAACAAAAACTAAAGGGTGTGTTTGTTTGAAGGATTTTGAAGGATTTCCACTATTCATCCAATTTTTTTTCCCCAAAAACATCAAATCAAACACCTATTTTTTATTTTTTATATTATACTAAAAATCAATTTTACATTCAAAACATCACATCAAACCCTATTTATATCACATCATACAACTATTCAAATTCAAAATTTTTACTATTCAAATCCCAATCCAAAATCCAAACTCCCAAACAAACACACAGGTCATTATCAATTCTTTTGAATGGGAATTATCCCAAATCTGTATGGTTAGGAAAGCCTATAAATTTGTCAAATTTTAGAGTTTTTTGTTGTGATGCGTTTGCTCATATCCTAACTGATAAATTAGAACCTAGGGCAAAAAATGTGTTTTTTTTTGTTATCCCGAAGTTGTTAAAGGCTTATGGACTAAAAACAGTCTATGTTTGAAAAATGATGAAAAAAACAATTATGAAAATTTTTAAACAAATTTTAATCAACCCAAAATAGTTTTTCGATTTGAAAATGTGGGTTCCAATTCTGATCTTGTAGTATTTGATAACCAATGTGTTGATTTTCAACAAGAAAATGTATATGATCCTTTAAGTGATAATTTGAATCAAAATATTTCGAATAGACACAAAAGAACTATTAAACAACTTGTTAAATTTTAATTTGAATTCATATGCTTTTAGTTTGTTTGATACACTTTATGGTAATGAACCAAAGTCATATGAAGAAGCAATCAATTTAAAATATAAAAATAAGTGGATTAAAGATATAAATTAGGAAATAAAATCTTTACATGATGGTTTTAGTTAACAAACATAAAAGTTGTTCTTTGGTGGATTGTAAATGAATTTTCAAAGTGAAAAATGAGAAAAATAACATTAAATTTCAAGCTAGACTGATAGCTAAAGGTTTTACCCAAAGAAAGGGTATCGATTATAATGAAATTTTTTCTCCGGTTGTGAAATTTTCTACGGTTCGTGTCATGCTTACTTTGGTTGCATATTTTAATTGGAATCTAAAACAACTAGATATTAAAATTGTTTTTTGTACGCGATGATAAATGAAAAGATTTATATGAAACATCCCGATGATTTTATTGACAAAAACAAACATGATTTTGTTTGTTTGTTAAAGAAATCTCTTTATGACTTAAAACAATCACCTAGGCAATGGCATTTAAAATTTGATAATGGTATAAAATCTTTAAATTTTAATAGAAGTCAATTAGATCATTGGTTGTACTTTAAATCAATAAATAATAAACCTATTTTCTTGTTGATTTATGTTGATGATATGTTCTTAATCACTTCTGATGTGACTGTTATAAATCAGATTAATAAATGTTTGAGTAATCAATTTAATATGAAATTTTTAGGTGATGCAAAAAGTTATTTTAGACATGCATATAGAGAGAAATTGGGAAAAATCTATTTTATTTTTAAATCAATCCTCTTATGTGAAAAATGTGATTAAGCGGCTTAGTATGGCTAATTCCAAATCTGTTAGTGTGCCTTTAGTTTCACATTTTTCTTTAAGTAAAAGTCAGTCACCTAAAACACAAGCTGATTTTGAATATATGAAATTTGTTTATATTTTAATGCAATAGGTTCGGTTATATACCTTATGGTTATAACTAAGCCTAATATTGTTTATACTGTGAGCTGTTTAAGTCAATTTATATCAAATCCCTGTTTAGAACATTGTCTGCTTTAAAGTGACTTTTGAAATATTTGTGTGGTACAATAAATTTGGGTTCGAAATACTTTAAATTTGATTGTGGTGTAATTTTGAAGGTTATGTTAATTCAAATTATGCAAATAATAAAGATAGTAAAAAGTCGGCTACTTATTATGTGTTTACATTGTGTGAATCTGCTATTAGTTGGAAATTGTATTTACAACACATTGTTGCATTATCTATGACTGAATATGAATATATTGCTATTACTTAACCCTTGAAAAAGACGTTGTGGTTAAAGGAGTTGTTATCTGAAATTGTTATGTTAGCGGGTGATGTTGTAATGTATTCGGATAGTCAATCGGGTAGTTAACTTTGCAAAAATCTCATTTTTCACGATCGAACAAAACATATAGATCTTAGGTTTTATGTTATTCGTGATATAGTTGCTAAATGCCTCATAAAGTTGGAGAAAATTCCTTTGGAATTTAATCCGGCTGATATGGGAACCAAGTCCATGTCTATTTCGAAATTTGAATCATATTTAAATATTTTGAATTTTGATACTTTTGATTAGTTTTTCAAATTCTGTTTTAAATCGTGTACTTACGGAATGGTTGAGTAGTAGGTGTGGCGATGATGATCTTTATCCATGTGAATCTTGACCAAAAAGTGGAGAAATGTTGAATTTGGCCTATATCCGACCCGCCTGACCCGCGTCCATATCACTGCTTTTCTGTGCCTTGTGAGCACCAAATCCGGCGTTGACCCGATCCGTGCGACCCAGTCTCCCCAAGATCAAATCTCAGCCATCCATCCTAGGATTTCGATCTGGAACGTTCATTGGTTAATATATACTGCTGCTCTTCACCACAAAACATACAATATTGTGTGTGCGTCGTTGGTTCTTTCTCTCTCACTATGTTTTACTTGCAATATCTCCAATATGTTCTTCTCCAGTGGTTCCGATGATTTTTTTCACCATGAATTTGAGAGGTTCTTCATGCAGTGTGCTATGGGGGAGTGTTTGTGAGGATTTCTACGGTTCAATTTTCCTGTTTCATTCCATTTTCATTGCGAAAGTGGGGTTTTCTTATTTAGGTAGAAGATAGGTGTTGCCGAGGTGTTGTTGGCCGGCGCCGAGGTTCTTCATCGTTGTTTTGGTCTCCTATTTGATAATAGAGGTTAACCTTCAAAATCTGAGCCACAAAGTGTCTTGATTGTCTAGTGAATTTTGTTGTTTTGGTTCTTAAATCCAAGTTCTATTTAGTTCCTTTCAAACGTATTTTAAATTTAGTATGTTCGATTCTAAAACTAACATGTTGGATCTTAATTTTTTAGGCCCGTAAAAATGTTGGCCTAAACGAGTCAATCCACGCTGGATGCGTGTTTAAAATGAGTTAGCTTATAGTGGGGCAGATTAGCGCGTGGCCCAAATATATATAATTATAATTATAATTATATTAGTATTATTAATATTTCAACTAAGTCTCTATTTTGTTATTTTAGTATGTCCGAAATTAATCTATTTATTTTATTTTTAGTAATTGTGCTTACTACATCACTTTTAAAAAATTCTTACAACTTACATATTACTACAACAAAAATTATCATCATTATTTAATACTAATATTAATAATTTTTAATAAAAAAATAAACAGATATATATATGATATGATATTAATATTATATTTTATTTTAATTTTTAAAAATATTTTATATTAAGTTAAATCAAATAATTAATTTATTAAAAAAAATTATATTATGTTAAACTAATTAACTAATATATATATATTTTTTTTGATGTTACTCTCTTTTATGACTATCTTAACATGTCCTTGTTTTCTTTATTTCAATTTTTTTTAGTTTGTTTTTTATTATCTTTTATTATTATTATTATTTATTTTAAATTTATTGAAAATTTATAAGAAGAATACTTGTTTATTGTTTAAATATTTTCGATTATCATTTGTTTTTAAAGAAAGATAATTAATGATATTTAAAATTTTGAATCAATTTATATTAAATATTTGTTTTCAATATTTATTATTTAAACTCTAAGATATAACTATTTTTTATATTAAATATATAAAAAAAATATTTTTAATATTTTTTAGAATTTTGTTGGGTTGGCCCGCTTGGATAGTCACCTGCTGGTGGGTTGGATTAGACTGTTTAAATTTTAGTCCGTCTTGTCGCGAGTTGGTTCACAAATAATTAGTTTAATTACTGGTTACGGTGAATTGTGAATTGTGAGCTAATTCATTGTATCAACCAGTTTTGACAGCTCTAACCTATATAGAGTCATAATCATATTATTACAGTTATGGTATTTATTTGTTTTTAAGGTTTTTTCTATATATAATTTGCATATAACATTTTATATGTGAATATAAGTATATTTGTATAAAAAATTGATAATTTTTGTTTCTTTTAATTATTAAAGTCATTCTTATAAATTTATACTTAGCATGATCATAATTAATCTGGGAAAAAAAAAACTCTTATTTTTTTGTTTTGTTTTTATTTTTCTCTTGGTGGTATTATCTTTTTAAAGCCAATTCCAATTTCCAACATAATTTTGAATATAGCGGACCAATTCTTATTTCAGCCAGGCCGTTGAATTAAAACGGGCCAATAGTAAAAGCCCAAATGGTGGCCTGGTTTTGGAAGCTCCAGAAGATTGTGGAATAAGAGTCGATGTCTGTATATACGTCGAGGAGGTTCTGCGTTTGCATACGGAATTCGATTTTATCGTGTTTGATCTCGCACAGCATCTAGAAATCTCTATCCGTCGAAGAGAAATTTATCCAGAACATGGCGTTGAATCCTCAGCTGTTTCCCAGTGGGATGCCAGTGCCCTTCGTCAGCGAGTTGTTTGTGCTGGCTAGAGATGGCGTCGAGTTTGAGATCGACAAGATCCCTGGGTGGGTTGCCTTACGCTACCTTTGATCTTGTTTTTGAGCCGATAGATATTACGCTTGCTTTCTTTATTGTCGGTCGTGGATTGTTAGTTTTTGTTCAATTTCGATTCGGTTGAAGGCGTTTTTATTGGTGTTGAAGTCTTGTTCGTATGCTTTTCAGAAGTTTCGTTGTTCGAGCGTTCTGTTTAAAATTTACCTAATTGGCAGTGAAAAATTGTTTGATAGTATGCTGGAATTTTTCATTTTTATCATGATGAGTATCGTCCATTATTACTTGAGAGGCCTAAATCTATTGCCGATTCCATTTTTCAACCAGTTGGATCGGTTTTTATGCATCGAATTACCTTTTTGGCATTAAATTTTTCTGCTGCGAGAATTGCTAATTAGAATCAAGTGGAGGTTAAAAGTGTTTTTCTCCTGCTGTTAACATTTTGGTTCAAGTTCGGCTGTTCTTTCTTCAAGATAGCATTTAGATTATTAAAAAAGGCTATAGTAGTTGCGCTCTTGGCATATTGTAACACTAATCTTTTAGTGTATCGTACATGTTGATCTTTTCTTCAAATTTTTTATTCGTTATGGTACTCTGGTTGATGTGCATGGCGAAATGGTTGGAGAATGTGTTTGTGTAAGATCTCAAAAGATCATCCTTTTAGTTCATTGTAAATTTTATCTATGAATAACTACACTTTTGCATCATTTTTTCCGTTCGGTTAAGCTCTTGAAGTACCTAAGGCTTACACTATAGAGTAAGAAGTTGTGTTATTCCAATCACATCTATATTAATATCAAAGAACCTATCAGAGAGTCTGCCAGTAGAGTGAGATAGCTTGTTGAATGTTTTGTCACTGTAGGAATCCTGGTTTTTTTGTATAGTATGAATATGCAATGGTTATGATCCTCACTAATGATTTTAATGTTCGCATCTTTCAGCACACAAGGTGGAAATGTCAAAGCAAAAGGAACCATTTACTTGTCTAATATTCGCATGGTTTTTGTTGCAAGCAAACCTGTTGGGAATTTAGTTGCCTTTGATATGCCTCTGGTATGTATTTCTTGTTGCTATACTTATTAGTTTCTGAGTTATGAATCACTTTACATTGTTTCTACAAGGACTGTTGAGAGTCCTGACTGTGAGGTAGCTGAGAATCCTTCTAGTCAGGGTTTGAGGTTGTATGTTTTTGCTTAAGAAACCTTGTGCTGTTTTGGCCTCTAATATTGAATATCCTTCTCTTATTAAGATTTGCTCTTACACTGAATCCCAGGTTTTGTTTTTGTTCCTTAAAAGATTCCCGATGCAAAATATGAGAATCACCGAAAAGAAAGGGGAGTAAGCTTGGTAAAATATAGCAGGATATCATATCATTGGGACTTTGCAGGCATCCCGTTGAATTATGATGTTACTAGAATTTTGATGAGGAATGACATGGCTTGCTCCTTCTTTCCTTTTCTGATTTTCATTGTACTAAATGAATAAACGCACTGGTTCACTCCTTAGGACTGATACTTGTGTATCTAGCTGTTATTAACCAAACTTCATTTCCTAGAGTGTTGGCTCATGCATGAAATTCATTAGTCACTATTATTTTATCAGGTTTTTGTTATGTCTGTAGCATTGGGTTTTTGTTGATATGTCCTTGGAATTGTGTACTTTCCTAACAGCATTTAGAGTTATATTATCGTTTGTGCTGTTATGAGTGCATTTGAGTTGATAGATCTTCTGCCCTAAACCTCTCTATGTACCATTTCAAATCTTACCATTAGGATGTTGTAAACAGTAATGACCAGTGGACCTTTTCATCTTATTTCACACTTATTTATTCTCTACAATTACCATTTGTCTGTGCAATCATATTAATGCACTTGTTTTAACATGAAATTGTCGTGCAGCTTTATGTCCATGATGAAAAATTCAACCAGCCCATATTCTTCTGCAACAACATATCCGGTCATGTTGACCCTGTAAGTGCAAATTATCATGGCTTTCTTTGGTTATTTTTGTGCTTAAAATATTATGAGGGTGTGTACTTTTATCAAATTTTCTCAAATTTCTATTATTCATCAAATTTTTTTCCCCCAAAAGCATTAAATCAAACATCTCTTTATTATTTTCTATATTATACTAAAAATCAATTTTATATTTAGAACATCACAACAACATCTCACATCATACAATTATACAAATTCAAAAGTTTTACTATTCAAATTCCAACAAAAAATCCAAACCCCCAAACAAACACACCCTATTTTTTTATGTTAACAATCAAGAGAAGTTGTGTTTTTGGTTGATTCATTTTAGAGTAATACGAAATAAGTTATTAATAAATTCATAATGCGATAATACATTAGGGGTGTTTGTACTTTAATTGATTATTTAATCTTTTAAGTTTTAGGTTATAAATTGCAACATAAAGATTAATTAATCATTTAAAGCAAACACTTTCTAAAGGCTATACTATGTGTGTGTGTGTGTGCATATATAGCCATTTGATATTTAAAGACATGCGATCTATTATCATCGAAAAATTTGCTCATACTTTTGGGCACAAATTTTAATGTAGATAGGCAATAATTTGTAGTTTTTTTTTTTTTATAGTAAAAAAAAATACAAAAAGAATAAAAAGTAGATATGATCTTTCAATAAAAGAGAAATGAGAACACTTTTGGATGACAACAAAAATAGTAATATGAAGTTATTTTTTGATGACAAAGGAGTGTTAAATTGTAAAATATCTTTGAGAGGAAGAACTGAGTTGTTGTAGTGCATATGTTCTATTATCAAAAGCACATAATAGAAGTGTTGAATTCAACCCAGACTGAACTTTGAGTCTTTGATATATCATTTCCAGGTTGTGCCAGAAAATGAACATCGGGCTCTTTATTCAACCCACTCATTCAAAATTCTTTTCAAGGAAGGTGGTTGTGGAACTTTTGTGCCTCTTTTCTTCAACCTAATAGCATCTGTCCGGCAATATAATCAACATGCTCGTGCTCATGCTGAGGCACAGCCTCGCGTGGATCCTCTACAAGCAGCACAAACTCCAGTTGACGAGATGATGAGACATGCGTAACTTTCTCGTTCCTATTTGTGTTGAAATTTGGCTTATTGCATACACAAATGTAAGGAAGTTATCTGATCACTCTGTCTCCATTTGCAGGTATGTCGATCCCAATGATCCTACAAAAATTTTCTTGCAGCAGCCAAATTCAGAGGCTCAGTTGAGACGGCGCACGTACCATTCGCAAAATGCTGAAAACTCGATATGATGTGGTAACAATGTACAGCTTTATATGCATTGAAGTTGATGTCGTCATGTTTGCATATTAGTGCTTATGTTTGTGAGACAATAGCTGCTTTCTCTCTCTCTCTCTCTCTCAATGGGATATAATAAACGGACCCCTGGCAGGATTCATGGATTGATTTACTGCAATTGTAATATGAATGTTTTAAATGGAGCATGCATGTGTGCTTGTAATAGGTTTATGTGCATATTATTGAGTTAGTTTTTTATAGTTCTAGGCTATCTATTGTAACAAAATCTTTATTTCTTCCGAAAATAGATTGCATGCTTTGTGTTAGATGGTCAAGTTTTTAAGTGACATAGTTATTTAATATAAAATCAGAACGGGAGCTTCCACACCATTCTTGTTGGCACGTGCAAGGTTTGTGTGACATTACAGTTGTTAATGAGCCTAACCGAATCGAATAGAATATTAAATGTTTATATTCGTTTGCAAACAAGGTTTGTGTTCATTCGTTGTTAAGTATTTGAGTTCGAGTACGAGTTCATTTTGTTAAAATGTTTTATTGTTTGTGCTCGTGTGGATAGATATACTATTTTATTTTTTAATTCATATATGATATTGTATTATTTATTTACTTTTTTTAAGTAATAATTATATATATATATATATTAGCAAATGTTTGCAAATAGTTGCGAACAAAGCTCGGATTTATGTGTTGAAGTCTATTTATATTGTTCGATTCAATTTGTTTATGTTTACAAACGAGCTGAATTAATAAAATATAGCCAGGCTTACACTTGATTCCTTTACTAATTCTATGCGAGATGAAAATTCACGTTCCACGTGAAGAGACATTTCTAGGTCGACTATAGTACAGTGAAGTCAACGTGTTCGGTTAATAGAATGAGGTCTACGTGTCTGGTTATTCTTCCATGTGTAGCTTATTCCCATTATTGGAGGTTTGGATTTTTTTATTAAATATTACTCCCCGTCTGCTATATTGTAAACACGGTAATTAAAGTATATAATTATTTTTTATAAAAAAAAAGTGACATGGTATGTGGAACGGACAGAAACGGAGCTATTAATATTTGTTGTTGATGTTTTATGTTTTCTGAGCTAATGTAGGAATTTTATGTTTTTTATGAAAACCCACCCCATCTTAAATTTGGGGATGGGTAATTTTTGTTGCTTTGTTATTTTTTATTTTTTTTGTTTAATAGGTAAATTTATTTATTTTAGATGATATATAATTTTTTTTTTTTTTTCTAACATGATGTGTCTTTTGAAAGTAATGCAATAAAGTAGTATAGCATTCGCTTCGTAGGTAAAATGTTTAGGATTTTTTTAACTTTTATGTGTTCTATGTAATTTATTATTTTTTTAAAATACTGATTATACACTTTAATCGTTTTAAAATTTAAATTTTGTAACTTTTTAAATTTTAATTAAATTATTTAGTCATCTTAATTATAATTTATAATTTTTTCTATTATATTATACTCTCTCTATTCAACCACCACCACAATTGACACTATTTTTATTTTTGTCTATCCCGTAATAATTGATATCTTTCTATTTTTGGTAAAAATTATTAAATCAAAATATATTTAACAAATACAAATCAATTTAATTAAATTCACTCAAAATTCTTTCATTTCTATCTCTCTCCTCAAAAAATAAATATTTTTATCTATATTTAAAACTACACAATTTTTTATTAAATTGATTTATGTTAATTATAAATAAACAAAATATTTGTTTTTATTTACTTGTATTATAGAAAATTTTATTCTCTACAAAATAATACATATAATTTTTAGTTGCTATATAATTTTTAAATACTTAAATATATATTTTAATTTTTTAATCATATATATTAAATTTACTTTAAAATTATATATATTATTGATTATATAAAAAAATAATATTATAATATCATAATTAATTATTATTAATTAATTAAACATTCTTACCATAAATACAGTGTTCATAATCGGAGGGAGTAATTATTTTTATTAATACACTTTTACTTATTAATTATATTTTTTTCTAAATTCCTATGCATAGACAAATTTTTTGGGACGAAATGAGAATATAATTTTATTTTTTAAAAAATTATGTTTAATTTTTTTGTTTTGAAAATAATTATTTTATATATTTTTCATAAAAATTTATATATTAAGTTTATGTATACATGTTATATAATTATTAAAAATATATATTTGTATTTAAATATAAATTTATTTAAAATTAACAATTATACACTCCCTTCGTCCACGTAATATGGGCCTATTAATTTAAATGCGATAATTTAGATAAAGTATGATTAGAGTAAAAATAATTATAAACTAAAATTAATATAACTAAATAGTTTAACTAAAATTAAAAAAATATATATATAAAATATGATTAAAGCGTATAATCATATTTTTCAAAAAAAAAAAAGACAAATGATTATGTAGAACGAGGGAGTATATATTAATATATGTTGTAAAACTATTTAAACTAATAAAATTAAAAAATATATATATTGTATAAAGAATAAATTATATTGATCAAATACAAATTACATAAAAAAAAAAATTAAAAAATTAAAATACACTAATTTAATATGAAAGAATATTATATTTCCACATTCACTAATATTATTTACATTTGAGAAAATATATTCGAAGAAAATAGTAAATTTTAAATTCCTAAATTTTTCTTATTTATTTACGTTTATATTCACAATTTTTATTCTACACATGTGATTCTTTTACATGTTAATTTTTTTTGTTCCAGTTGTAAAATTTTTTATCCATATAAAGATAATTTTTGTAGCATTTCTTTATCTACATTTTTTTTCTTATGCTTTGCTTTTTTTCACCCCAATAAGACGTTTCATATGAAGACCACTAACATTATAATTTAAATCTAATTGCGTAGAATTATCATTTAAATTAACATAAATTATTTAATTTTGAGGAAATTCAAAAGAGCATACCGATAAGGATGATTTATTAGAGAAATTATTTTTTATAGATATTTATAGTATATGTTTCTAGTTTTATTGTGATTATTGAACTTTTTTAAATTCATTTAACAAATTACGAACGTGATCAAATTTAAAATTTTTTTTTTAAGCTTACATCTTCTTTCATTAGTATCTCATTTTTTTTTTATTATCTGCACATAATACTTTGAGGTTACTTATAATTTATATAAATTAACAATAAATTTAAAAAAAACTAACAATATTCATATATGATTGCTCTACTGAGCTTTAAATTTTCACTCATTTGATGCAAGTAAGTAATTTTTTAAGATATATATATATTTTCATGGTGTAGATCACATTTTGTTCGGATCTAGTACTACGTATCTTCCCATCAATTATATATACGGTGATTCGATTTTAAAATTGATCTCTTAATTGTTGTTTTATGGTAATTGAATCTTGCGAAATATTGAAATATTGTTAACTTAGCAACACATTTTCATCAACGTGACACCACTTCGGATGAACATTTTTAAGAAAAAGGTTAATGAACTTTTATGATATTATAATAAGAAATAAAATTTGTGGTGCAATTACATAAAAAAAAAATGAAAAATTATATTTGCAATCAAATATTAAATAGATATCAAATCTTATCTATTGAAATGATTAATCTCAAGCGTTACGTATAGATTTCACAATCCTAGCTGTTGGATCGAAATGAAATATTGCCAATATTATTTTGACCAATCTCAATAATTTCTTTTATATTTGATTATATATATATATATTGAAAAAAAAAATTCTAATAAATTATATTTATCATGAATGTAGCTATCCAATTTTGACAATACGAGCCATCCGTTTGGATTTTATTTTCATTTCATCCATTAAGTGTATATCTTTATTATCCAAATAACTATTATATATATCATAAAAATCTAGTTCTCTATGTTCGAACAATCCTAACCGATGGTTTGGATTTTATCTTCATTTCATAAAGTCCATTTTAAAGGATGATGTATCAATTTTCATATCATGCAAAATAATGTTTATCTGGAACAATTACTCAGTTCTTCATAATCAACACATCGAGGCTCTATCTCATTTCAGGTAAGAGTGGATCGGTACGGTATACCGAAAATCATACCGCATACCATATACTGTACTGAAATTTTCGGTATGATATTTTTCCATCCCGATACCATATCGAAAACTCGGTATGATAGATATACATACCGTACCATACCGATAATTTGGTATACCGAATTTTTCAGTATATATCGATATACCAAATACCAAAATATCAAACTAATATATGGTATTTTGGTAAAAACCGATATACCAAAAATTTCAATTTACATACCGTTAGTGTAACGAAATTTCGGTATTTTCGGTACGGTATGGCGGTATTTCGGTATTTTTTCCCCACCTCTAATCCTAGGTTCTCAAGTAACTAATTGTGATCGTGAAAGTTCGGATCGTAACTTATATAATTATTTTTCAAATGATCCTTTATATAATAACAAATGTTCCGTCGATGATTTTGAATGTCTGGAAGTCTATTCCTTCGTATTGTTATGCGGTCGGTTAAAGATCATGATCCTTATTTTCAATAACGAAAAGATGGTCTTGGTAGACTTGGCTTCTCAGCTTTGCAAAAGATAATTGTTTGTTTTCGGGTGGTAGCATATGGTGTAGTTGCAGATTCAACTTATAAATATTTTAAAATTGGTGAATCGACGACAATTGATAATGTTAAGAGATTTTGTCATGTTGTTGTTAAAAGTTTTCAACTAAATATCTTCGACATCCTATTGTTAATTATATTGTAGGATTGCTTCATATTGGAAAATATTATGATTTTCTAGTTTAAACTATATGCATTAAAAAAAAAAAAAAAAAAAAAAAAAACTATCATACGGTTTTCACAAGTTAATATGCAAATCGTAGTGGATCACTAACTATTATTTTGAAGTTGTGGCCGATTATGATCTTCGTGGCATGCATATTTTGGCATGCCGGACGTCAATAGTGACATTAATATTTTAAATTTCTTATACTTTTTTTTTTCCAAATATTACTCTATGTATCACTTTTCGTGTACATTATATCCTTCAAGGGAAAAAAATACAATATAATATATTATTTAGCCGATGGTATTTATCCCAAGTGGGCTATTCTTGTACAAACTATTCGAGATCCACGAGATCAAAAGAAAAGACTTTTTGCACAGAAATAGAAGTCTTTAAAAAAAATGTTAAACATACTTTCGAAATTTTACAATCATGTTAGCATATAATTGTTGGACTTGTTCGATTTGGGCAAAAAAATGTTCTACATGTTATAA